GTTAAAGGTTAAATTGCGCATACATTTTTTTTGGTATGACATCCTCATTTGTGTGAAATGTTACAGATTCCTGTAAAAAGGAGAAGAATGATTTTCTTTTTGTATTTGTTTTGAAATAGCCTTAGTTTCACTTTAATTTGAGAATTTTCAGTTGTGGAAATGTGTGAATAAAGCAAATTGAACTGAGTTGAATTGAGGCTAATAATTTACAAAAGAGTTTCTGTGTTGTGCTGTAGGGCTTGACACAGGCCAGGGCATGTTCTTTCTTTCTTTCTCCTAACTTCTTTGTATTTGTCTTAAGAAAAAAAAAAGGGAGCCTCGCATATTTCACCTACCTGCTCCCCCTCCATTCATGCATATGCATACACGACCCCACACGCACACGCTTCATGACGCTTGCCAGCAATGAGGTCAGATGTGATGACCGGCTGAGCACCCTTCCCTGTTTCTCCTCCTCCTCCGTCTCCTCCTTCCCTCCCCTCCCCCTCCTCCAATTCGCCTTTGCAGGGCATGCATGCCTGTGTCTGTTATCTACAAATGGCTGAGGAATTATAGGTTGAGAAGGGTGGAGGAGGAGGAGTGAGGGAGACTGTGGGGAGGGGGTGGGGGTGAGGTCATGTGACATCGCAGCAGCTGCTAGCCTAAGAATTTCTGTTTTCTCAGTTAGAGAGAGAGAACGAGCGAGAGCACGGAGGGGAGAGAGAGGCGGCGTGCGTAGTGTGTTGCTTTGTTAGATAAGCTCTACACGGTCTTTGTGAGACAGGAAGGCAGCCGGGCAGGCAGGGAGAGAGTGGACGGGCAGGACGAGAGAGATAGGCAAGGAGTGAGTGAGAGAGAAGGGAGCAGTAAGATGGTGTGTGTCCTGGCGCTCGTTACCGGTGCGCACTGGGCTGGGCTCAATGAGAAGATGCAGGCATGGGAGATGCAGGCGGCTCCACTCCTTTGTGCAGTAAGAAGCTTCGATCACACTTTTTTATCTGTGAGGGGGGTTCTTGAACCGCTGCGAGAACTCCGGATGTGCGCCTCTGCGTGTATTTGTCAGGCTGCGTGCTTGTTCGTCTCTTCTTTCACTGCTACTCACATTTGTTTCTGTTTGTGCTGTGGTTTATATGTGTGGTTGATACAGTCAACCATAAGCTGCTGTCTCTGTAGTTACTCATTTAGAAAAAGTTCCTTGAATATGTCCTCCTGACTTTGTCGGACTTTCCCTAAATAAGGAGGGAAGAGTAGCACGCTATTGTCTTAAGTCACGTTACTGGAATGGAGTTGAACTTGGTGTGTGCTTTTGCTTGTTTGCCGGTCTGTCACCAGGCTCTGTGTGTGTTACTTTAGTGATTCCATTATTAATTGTTTGCTGGGTTCATTGAAAGTGCACTGGGTAACTGGGAGGTTACAGGCAGGACAACTTGAGAGGTGTTGGGAATGCTATTCACTCTCTCATGCCTGACTTGCCACTGTGTGTGTATCCACTTGAAAACACACACAGACACACACACACGGTGCTCTGCTTCTGCTCTCTTGTCAGAAGGGAAAATGATCTTTTTACAGCCCTCTCAGGCTACATCCACAATAATACATTTTCACTTAAAGCAGTGTTTTTGAAATGAAAACAATCTCCGTTGTGCACACTTTCAGAAATGGTCTTCAGCTTTGCTAACCTAACCGCAAATCACATTGACCATTCACTGGACAGGTGTGTGTGATGCAAACATGAAACGCATAAAAGCCACTGAAAATAACAAAAAAGTATAAGAGCGTAAATTGCAAAGCAAATCTGGCAACATTTTAGAGTGACAGGAGTACCCACACGAGTAAAATATAATCCTAAAATGAATGGGAACTGTAAAATCTTAGCTGAATTTTTGTGACTGATAAGATCGGTAAACAAACGTGGGCATTTGCACCATTGTTTACAAATTTTTCTGTTTCTGCCCAACCAAATCCTGGAGTTTTTATACTAAATGCAGGACTGTTCCAAGAAAGTTTTTTGTTTTCAGAGGCCAAAATTACCCGAGTAGTGGGGATGCTAGGCTTAAATATAGAAAAAGTACCCGTAAAAGTGAAAATGTACCTTTGTGGCTCTGCTAGGCTTCTGCGGAAAACTGAGATCTGAACTTGCTTGCCAAACTGCTACTTTTTAGTAAGCAGATCTTAGTCATCATGTTCATTGAAAGTTCATTTTAAATGTTGTTTTTAAGGGAGAATTCAGAACAACTGTGTGTATGTTATTGTTTGTGTAACAGAAGCTATTCGAGTCTGAAGCTAAACTGTCCTCCGAGCCTTCCTTTGTGTGTCCGTGCGTGCGTGTATGTGTGTTTTGCTTGAGCACGTAGGGGTATCAGACACCGCTCTGGCATTTAGGGATTCCACTGACCGTGGGGCTGTCAACATGGTGTCACTTTTCAACACACACATACACAGGAAGGAAGGAAAGGACAGACCCTCTCAGCCCTCCTCACCCTTTCTAACCCCTTCAGCCATCAGAGCTTCTTCTAGCCCAGACTGTCATCAATTTCACTTTTATATTAAGTCTGTTTCTCTTTGCGACGCAGCATTTTCTTTTATTGGTAGTGTTTTTTTGTTTTGTTTTGTTTTTTTCAATTAAGCTCAGTGTCAGTGTGAGAAACATTTTCTTAAGTGATGGTTATGTGAGGGAACCAAAAGGCACTCTGAATATTTTCGTGCTGAATTTTTTAAACAAATATGATATTTCTATTTAAAGGTAGTAATGTTGGCGCATGCTCAGTAGAGGAGCTATGTAAACTCTATGACCGTGGACCTCTGGCACACATGCAGTCAACTGCAGCTCTTTGAGCAAAACAAAGAGTGACCTGCCCTCCTAACCTCTCACCTCTGACCCTATGCCATACAGCCAAAGCCCCTCTGCTCCTCAACCCCTCACACCACCGATCCCCCATCCTCTCCAGCTGTCACAAACAGAAACCCAGCTCCACACGCTGTATTTTTATTTACACAGATCCTCATGCCTTGAATTTTTTCTCATTCTTTAATGGAAATGCAGTATTGGTCCCTAATACTTTTCCATTCTCTTCCTTTGTTCTTCATTTGTAGGCATGAGCCATGAGCCAAAGTCACCATCATTAGGAATGATCTCCACGGCGACCCGTACCACGGCGACGGTCAGCCCTCTTACCCCGTCACCTCTCAATGGCTCTATCGTAGCCAATGGAAGCCCAGCTGCCCAGTCAACTCATTCGGGATTTGCTGCAGCCCTCCGTAAACTGGCAAAACAGGCAGAAGAACCGCGAGGTAAAGCCAGCCGGCCCATATGACAGGGATGTTACACGGAACTGAAATTTGAATTCTCATCTAAAATCTGATCTGTAGTGCCGTAGGAAGAGTTCCTTTCACATAAAGAAAGAATTATTTTTATTTTTATTGACAGAGATCTTAATAGTTTTATATGCACTATCTGAGTAGTGTAAATTTACAGACCAATATATAGTGTTTATTTAAATGTGAGCATTTCCTGTTGTGTTTTTCACTTGAAAAATGATGTTTAACTGTTAGAGCTGGAGTAGCCTCGATATGGTCATATCAGACAAACGGTGCTTTTAAAGGATATGAAGCTAAAGGAGCTTTTCTCAGACAGAAGGTGAACTGAGGGGCAGAAGCAAGAGCCAGTGTGAGTAAACTACAGGTCAATTTGAACAATGATTCATGCAAATCAACTCTAGTATTCCAGGAAAATACATAATAGGTCCCCATACGACGTTAAGGTTAGAGTTTCTAATTTGGGTATTAAGGTCAGACTGTAAAGTGGTTAGCTGAAAATATTTTGATAATACCAAACCCTGTTCCAGGTGTGTCTTATATCTTAATCTTGCTTCACATAGCCATACTTGGTGTTTTGCACTTCCTATAAGCTGTCTGTGGGTTGTATATTTAGCCTTTTTGTGTCCACATATATACTTATAGATATATATGTTTATATATATATACTTATAGATATATATGTTTATATATATATACTTATAGATATATATGTTTATATATATATATATATATATATATGTGTGTGTGTGTGTGTGTGTGTGTGTGTGTGTGTGTGTGTGTGTGTGTGTGTTTATAGAAGTGCTCATATTTGTGCATGCATGTATACTCCAAGACCAGCATAGCTGTGTTCAACTGTTATTAGCGATGTAGGGATATCCACATAGGGTTAAATTAGTTGGTGTCCCCACAGAGGCTGGTATGAAGGGAGCCACTCTAGCTGACCCACTTAATGTGCTGTATGTGAATCCATGTACACTTGGGCCTGCTTGTCACTGTGTGTGTCTTGACTCTCCAACTCACTGTCATACATACTTCCTTGTCAGTGGTTACACACATGAAACTTCACTAGAATTGCTCTGTTGGAGCTGTATGAATGTGAAATAACCACTAAGTGGTTTAGTTGCTTGTTAATAACTGTAAACCAACCAGAATTCACTCTTCAGATGTTTCATTTTAAATGTTTTTGTGGATTTTCGCTTGTAGATTTCTGGCTTTGTTTTGTTTTTTCATTTTATGCAAAACTAGTCTCTCCACTACGTAGACCCATGCAAATATGTCTTAAATAGGTGTACCCGAGTGTCACCGGTGCATACGTAAACATACAAATAAGGTTATAAACTACATTCTACACAAGAGAACCTCAATAGGACGACATTATTTGTGAGTGTGTGTGTGTGTGTGTGTTTGTATATGTGGCTCTGTGCCTTGGCTCCAGAGAGGCTCAGCTACCCCAGCTGTCCACCCTTGCTCTGGCTCCTAAATCAGATGGTCCCCTCCTTTCTGGCTGTCCCTGGACACCTTGCTCCCCAGCCCACTACAGTATGGGACCCAGAGCCCTGCAGACGATTTATTACACCCACAGAGAGCACTCAGACCCAACCTCTCCTCACCTCCCCCTCAGTACTTCTTTCCCATCAACTCTCTTCACTCCCTCCACCCTGCATGCCAGCCCCTTTACTTTGTCACAGTTTTCTCTCTCGCTCTGTCAAACACTGCCTTTTCATTTTTATTGTGGACTCCTTTTTATAAATGCAGCTTTTCCCTTATCTTTGTTACATGGCCCCCTTTTCTTAGTTGGTAGAGTACACAGGGAAAGCAAAATACAAGTTCTTGTGTGTTTCTATTTTTTGTTGTGTTAAAAGGTGAAAAAAGTGTGTCTACTTCAATCTGTAATTCACAATCTGCCAAGACAGAGAGCTTCTGTCTATGTCATACAAATACTTGATCCTGTCTGATAAAAACTTCACCACCTTTTTATTAAAAGAACAAAAAAGAAATCCCCTTTATTATTTTGAGTCCTGCTGACTGTTTCCTCATTGAAGTAGGATGTGACGTGTCAGTGAGTCAGCCATCAGGCATAAGGGCTGACTGCCTGTGTTAGGAGCACCATCTCCAGGGTGGGCAGAGAGACACGAGTCCCCCTGAAGCTCAAGCCCCTTCTCTGTCTGCATAGCCTGTATTTATACAGAGCACACACCCAGTCACCCCACACATACAAACAGTTGCCTTTTCAACTGTGTAAGCCTCGTGATTTCTTTGCATGCTGCAGCCTGCTGTCCTCTCATTACCTTTTGACTCAGCCTCTCTTTCTCACTCACCCTCTGTTGATGCTGTGAGGTAAATAGTGCAGTATATACAAGGTGCCATGACTCAGTGTCCTCGGGTCTGAAGGAATTAGTTAGATTTGAGTACAAGTATCACTGCCACCGGCTGCTGAACTGATTTAAGACCCTGAGCACGACTGCTGTTTATATACAAACCCACACACCCATTCACGCGCGCACACACATACATTGTCACTTGTCTGTGGCGAGTATAATGAATAGCTCTGTGTACTGAGTGCTGCGTTGAAGAGGGGAGGTGATGGATAATGAGTATCGGAGCAGCATAAAGGACACACTCTCATCCAGTGCACACTTGCTTGAAAACACACACATATGCTCACAAATGCACACAGACACAGTTAACACACTGCCTCAAAGAGGCAGACCTGCTGATATCTGATTAATTAGGCAGCCCTGGGTTTAATCTTCTCTGTTGTTTCTTCTTACTCACTCATAGACACATAAACACCACAAGAGTTTCATGGCTGTGTCCATACCAACCGTAGTGCACTGCCTGGAGAGAACATGAAGAGAGGGAAAATAAAGGTATACAAGATAGTTGGAATGAGCTGGCTGGATAAAAGAGGGATAGGAAGTAATTAGTAGATTTGTGAAGAACCTGGGGTGTCGGTCATATTGTGTGTATCTGTATGTGTGTGTGTGTGTGTGTGTGTGTGCGTGTGTGGCCCGAGGCTTCCCTTGTTTCTGGGAGCCCAGAGCATGCTGGGACAGCGGGGCAGTGTGTCTATGACCTCTCCATCTGGAGCCTGCCTGGAGCTCGCTCAGCCTCGCTGTGCTCAGTGTGTGTGTGTGTGTGTGTGTGTGTATGTGTGTTTCTCAAAGGCAAAACACTGCAGGCCGTGACTGTCCCTGAAACACTTACAAACAAGCTTATTTGCGTCCCCTTTCTTCCTAACTCTATCTATACACAGCAGCCTTACACCTCTCCTGATTTTGGAGCGGCATTTAAACGTAATGTACCGTTTGCACCGTCAGCCGAAGGGACAGAGGATAGCTCCTCTTATTTCCATCCGCCATCTTGTACCGTCTTCCTTTCTCTCCCTGGCACAGCAATACACACTGTGTGCCTCTCCCCTCCCCCAACACAGCGATGCAGATTACAGGCTTTGTGTTGTGTTGTCAGTGCATGGCCAAGACTGTAGTAGCAGGTGTGTGCAATGTTTTTGTGTATGCGTGTGTTTGTGTGTGAGAGTGCACGTGTTGAGGCTTGCGCTAGTGCATGCTGGTGAGGCGGCATATGGATGCAGGGTTGGCTGGGCACTGCTATGCACACCAGGTGTGAAATGGACTGTTTAATTAAGTGCTGATGTTGTTGTAATGCATGCTGGGAGGAAGGAGGGTGGAGGACGAGGTGTGGGTGGGTGGGTGGAAGGGAGCAGATTCTGTTTGGCTGTCTTGAGAGGGGTGTTGCTGGTGATGGTGGCGGCAGAGAGTTGGTAGGTGCCTTTTGGCAACACTGAAAGATTTTTGTGTTGTGTTGAATACTGAGGAGTTGTGTCAACTTTTTCACTGGGTCATTGGTCTGCCCAGGAACACCTCTGACTACGACTTCGTTTGTTCATTGCTTCTGTTGGGTGCATCGTGTGTGTGTGCATGATAGTGCAGCTCAGCTTGAGCGGTCAAGTGTGGAGGCAGTCTGGGAGAGTGGGACTGTTAATAGAAGAGGCGATAGAGAAAGGAGCCTCACATTAATCACAGGCAGCTTGGGACTAAGACAGCTTTCTCTCCCTTTCTCTTTTCCTTGCTCTTTCTTTCTCTACCGTCTCCTACGGCTTCTCTTTTTCTGCAACCCCCTCCATTCAACCCCGTCATCACACCACACACACCACGATACACTGAGCAAGTGACAATCAGTACTGCTAATGAAGTGAAGGTTGAGAGCTGATGAGCCTGTTTTAGACCCTGGGGAAAACAGCTTGTGCTTTATTCCTCCTGCCTCTTCTCGCTCCCTACAGGGTCACCATGTATGGCCATCTTCTCTCGGTATAGGTAGAATGGCAACCAGGTTAGTGCCAGTCACACACCTCATATATATGATTTTTTTCCCCTCCTATCATATGGCCATAGTAATGTGGGGGAAAAAAGGTGTGGGGCACCCCCCCCCCCCCCCCCCCCCCCACACACACACACACACACACACACACACACACACATTGATATGGACATTGAAGGAAGGAGGTTAAAAATGGTACACATTTAAACATGCAGCTCCTCTCGTAGACATCTCCAGTTGCTATTGCTTGCTGCAAGTACTGTGTGTTTATAAAAATTGTGCATCGAGCCTGACAGATTTACGTCTGCTTGGCAAGCACTGTGTTTGACGAACAGAAGGAAAACGAAGGAGGGTGTACGAAAAGTTGGTAGGTGGGTGGTGGTTGCATGGGGTGTTGTTAGAGAGAAGGAGGGGGGAAGGATAGAGGAATAATAGCTGTTTGTGGTCCTTGTGTACGAGTGTGCGTATGCATCGTGGAAGGACGCTTAGAAGAGCACATCAATTCTGCAAGCTGTAAGAAGAGAATGAAGCCGTTTGGTAGAAGGCACTTGTCTCTTTTATTTCCTCCTCACCCTCACGCGCTTCTCTTCCTGCTCTCTTATTTAGTCTGCCCTCCTCTTCTCTGGTCTGCTCTGCCTCTACATGGAAAAGGAGGAGGAAGAGATGGGGGGGGGGTGAGCGAAATAGATGGAGTATAGGTCTGTTGCTTAGCACCCCCAACTTCCCCCTTCCGTGCGTGTGCGCGCGCGCACACACACACACACACACACACACACACACACACACACATTCACCTCTTCCATTCCTCCAGCCTTATTTGTTCCCCATCCTTGTGTATGCATGTTGTGAGCGTGTGATGAGTGAATAGGCTGTGACACTAGAGCTGTATTAAGTGTACCTCCGTTCCCCTGGCTGAGTGGGCTGCTATTGATTGGCCTTGTCTTGCAGGGTAGAGTAATGGCTCTCCGAGGTGAGGGGGGAGGATTAGGCCACTAATTGCCATTGTGCAGACAAGATATGACTGCCCCCCCAGCAGCCGCCCCACCACCATCTGCACCCCTTATCTCTCTGCTTTCCTTTCTGCTACTACTTCTCGCCTCACCTCACGCTCCTTTTGCACACTCACTTTATTTTCTCTCCCCCCAAATGCTCCCCATCTTCTATCGTTTTTCACTTTCGTGTCTCACTTCATGTATCGTCAACCATCTTCTGGTCTCACATACCTTGTTTTTTTTTTTGTTTCTTTTTAACTCCCCCCAAAAAACCCCAACACTGCCAGCCTTACCACCACTTCCCCTCACAAACAGATTTGATTTATCAGATTCTCTGATTTTCCTCTAGACATCACCTCACTGCATTTATCGATTCTTTCCATTATTGAGTATTAGTCAGAGTTAAGTACTTAAAATCAGTCAGTGTCCTGACCACACCTACCGTAAGCTGACGCTGTCTGTTAGGTTTTGTTGCCATGGAAACCAATGCAGGGAAGAAATGGCTGCTGAGTAAAGATGTGCTTTTTTTTTTTTTTTTTTTTGTTACAGGAAGCTGCCCTGAAACTGGCCTGAGGTTTCAGCTGCTTTTTATTTTAAATGTCTGCACGTAAACAGTCTAATGCACAAAAACACTCATGCATGAGCGCTCATCATTGCAGTCTTCTTTTTTTTTTCTTTTTTACACCACCAAAGTGTGTGTCCCATAGAGAGGTTTTGACCCACTTTGACTCCGTAATGCAGAGACATACAGCAGCAATACTGTCCTGTCAAAGAGAAAGAGGATGTCGGTAGAAAAGGGGAAGAAATTAAGATTAAATGGGCAAAACATGAGTATCATTTAAAACAAAAAAAAGAAAAGAAAAGGAAGACTCAACAAAGGCTGTGGCCTGCTGGTGAGGAGGTAGAGTTGAAGGGATATAGAAAAATGTGACCGTATCATAGGAAAGATTTGCAACTTGAGGGAGAAAAAGCAAAATGTGTAGAAAGCAAGGCATGTGACCAGACCGTGACCCTGCGCTACAGGGTTTCCCTGGAGGGCTTTGTTAATGTGGCACAGCTACAGTGGAGCAGAGAAGCTCATTGGGCCAGCTTTTCACCACCTGCTGTGTGTGTGTGTGTGTGTGTGTGTGTGTGTGTGTGTGTGTGTGTGGCGGGGGGATTTCAGTCTTTGGCTACAAGCGCCACATACATACAGTATGGCTGTTGAAGCTGTATTCTTGTAGTGTGTGTGAATGTGTGTTCTGCATGTGAAGGCTGTATGACTCTCACAAGGCTGCTCATCCTGATCACTGTCACTTCATAATAGGGGCCTTGGGCTATCCATCTGGCCCTCGGTGTGTATATGTGTGTGTTTACGTGTGTGTGTGTGTGTGTGTGTGTTATCCATTGCTTTTGTAACGTTCCAAACCCTTTTTTCATTCCCTTGTGAAAGAGCTACAGAATCATGTTAATTTTACCTTTTACCAGTAGAGGAAAACTGGACTGTCATCTTATTTCTTACAGACTTTGACTGATCCTACTTTTTTTTTTGTTTCTCCAGCTGCATCCTCCATCAGCAGTGAGTCACCACCAGTGTCTTCACCAGCCACCAATCACAGCTCTCCAGTCAGTACACCCAAGAGGGGTCCTCTTGGTCCTGGTCCTGTCCTGGTACCCCCAGCAGGCCACACTGTGCCAAACACTCCACCTGTAGTCACCATTGCTCCAACAAAGACCAGCAACGGCCTATGGAGAAGCGAGGGGCGCCAGGTAAATATTTCTTCAGTGTGGCCGTTTGTATTTTGTATATGTACATAATAATAATAATAATAATAATAATAATAATAATAATAATAATAATAATAATGGATTGAATTTATATAGCGCTTTTCAAGGCACCCAAAGCACTTTACAATGCCACTATTCATTCACTCTCACATCCACACACTGATGGAGACAAGCTACAGTTGTAGCCACAGCTGCCCTGGGGCAGACTGACAGAAGCGAGGCTGCCAAATCGCGCCATCGGCCCCTCTGGCCAACACCAGTAGGCAAGTAGGGTAAAGTGTCTTGCCCAAGGACACAACGACCAGGACAGAGAGCCCAGGGATCGAACCGGCGACCTTCCGGTTACAGATGCGATTCCCAACCCCCTGAGCCCCCATGGGTAACATAGATGGCCTGTCTATAAACGTCTCATCACCCACTACCAACTAATGGATTTGTGCGTTAAACATTGCCAGCTGCCACTGGGACATCGAGGTGACAGCCTCAATGGCCGATAACATCTGTGCCCCTTCGCCCCCTCTCCAACTTGGCCCTTAGACCAGCCCAACCACAGTCCCAGGCTTGGGCCTCCCGTAACCATTCAACCTCTCCACCGGCCTCACCCCTTTCACCTAAGCAGTCAAGTGCGTCGTCTCCCTTGTCAACCTGGCACCCACTCATAGTGGGGAAGAGAGAAAGAGGGAGAGCTGCTTGCTTTGATAAGGAGTGGATTATGGATTATGGCCTTACTTTAAGCCGCCTTATCTCAGCTTAGGGCTAATAGTTCAGGCCAAGTGCACGGTTATGAACAGCACTCGGCAACATGCGGAAACTCTCTGAGCGGCTGACGGTTCCCTGGAGACAAACAGAAGGGGGATAGTGAAGAGGGAATAAGGAGGTCAGCCAGGCAGCAGTGTGTGGTAGCATTCAGACCATTGTCCTCTCTTTTGCAAACCCCTCCTGACCCTCCCCCCTCTCTAGCTATAGTTTTTATGAAATGAACCTTTTGCAGTACAGGGTCAGTTAGAGCTGCAAGGGACAGACACACAGGAAGTCCTTGTAGAGATGCCACCATTTTTGTAATTTTGTTAGCACAGAAATTTCAAAAAGGACGGACGAAAAAGAAAACAGGCAAGAATGCCCTGTTGCTCACAATTTAAGGGCAGTAATGTGAACAAGAGGTAGGGGTGACTGGCTATGGGCTCAAGGGACAGCAACGGGGTGAAGCGACACCCCGTCGTTGTTAGGGTGCCGCTTCACTCAGCACTCATAACTCACACAGAGCCAGAGAATCCTTAAGGGTACACACACATCATCAAAATCTTCCTGTAAAACAAAGATGACTTTAATGGAACTTTCTGTTACTGAATCACACAAACGGTTACAAACAGAAGGAGCAGTCAAGTTCCGAGAACCCATGCAGCATGTCCGGGAAAACTTGTCTGTTGCTGTGTGTACAAATTAATGTGTTCTGCTTTCACTGCTTTAAAAGAGCATTTTAGTGTCTCTCAGGCTGAGAGATGAGTCTGTCTTTCAGAGGGGGGTAACAGGCAAGGCAGTGAAGAAGGGAGGGCTTGGTGCGTTGGCATTTTGCTTTAATGACTGCAGGAGTCTGCTCCCGCTGCTGCCTGTAATTGCTTTATAATTGACAATTTGGATTCATGGCTCCATCTGAGAGGCGTAAACGAGCACTCTACAATGCGCGGGGTCTCCCACCCTCACTGAGGGTTACAGGGGCCTGGCTCACACAGAGGAAGATGGCTGTTAATGGATGTGTCTTTGAGTTTGAGTGCTTGTATTTGTGCACAGTAGTGTGTGTATATGACAGGCTACTGGAGAATAGTGCAGGAATAGAAGGCCATGTATTTTAGCAGGTGAAAGGTCAAAATGGAATGGCTGCTTGAATGTGTAGGTGCCTGAGTTGACTATAAGGTGCCTTTCTCATAGGATGGAAGGTTTTTCTCTTTGTTGTTCATGGGGTTTTTTTTTTTCATGGCCCTGATATATGTAGAAGCTACATGTTTTTAGGTAGGCATGCATCCGTACATTAATCCATACATGTGTACATGTATATACAGTCAAATGGATATCAAGCTCAAAATGTGTGTACATGACAGATATAGGCTGAATGCAGGTTTCCAAATTGCTTTGATCGGTTTGAATGTAAGTGGCTGAGATGGACGTTTCAAGAAAAACATATTTGTTTCAGCCATTCTTCAAAGATCCCACATCGCTCTCGAATCTTTGCGCATAGTTTTAGTAATTTTTTGGCATGCTAACTTAACCTGGCAGAGTTTACCCTTTGCCTACGAATCTCACAACACCATACATTATACCAATCCTGGTATATTAGTATTAGTTATGTTAGCATTCGTAATGCATTCTTGTTGTTGTTGTTGTTGTTGTGTTTCCTTCTGATGGTAGTAGTGCAATGCATACTATCAGACACTGGTAAAATAAAGGAGAATTTACATTTTAATACAAAAACACTAGTGTACACTATTATTATCATTATTTAAAATCTATTTAATGACTATCTGAAAATGTGAAAATCACCAGCATCTCTTGTTGGCATAACTGGTTGCCCTTCAGTGACAGTGAAAATGGTGAAAGGAAGAAGCTGAAACCAGTCCAGCACCAGCATTTGTTGTTTTATAGGCTTCTTTGTCTGATCATCTTATGAGACGATTTCTGTGAAATTCATTGGAAAGGAACATTTAATTCAATTTCTGTGTTAATCTATGTCTGGGACTTGCACCAATTGACAGTTATGAAGTCATAGCCATGGTTTTAAAACCGTGATTGCCTCATGACACACAAGTTGTGTGTAATGCAGAATATCAACTACTGATCACCAGAAAAATACCAGATAGTCGTTGGTCAGGTCTTGAAAATAAATTAGAATTCATTGTGTGTGTGTGTGTGTGTGTGTGTGTGTGTGTGTGTGTGTGTGTGTGTGTGTGTGTGTGTGTGTGTGTGTTTTTTCTTTTATTATTGTATGCCATCAAAAAAGGTACTGGTTGTGTGTACTGGGGACACACAGTGAAGGAAAGGTGCAGCAACTGTCTGATTCAGACAGTTGCTGACTCTCCACACCGTGTAACAAGCATGCGTAAATAAATGCCCAGTATATTCATGCAGTCACTCAAAGTGATTGGGCTGTTTTATCCTATTCCGATCGCTTGTCATCAATCAATCAAGTGATAGAAATCAATTAGTGGGGCAAAAAAGTATTTAGTCAGCCACCGATTGTGCAAGTTCCCCCACCTAAAATGATGACAGAGGTCAGTAATTTGCACCAGAGGTACACTTCAACTGTGAGAGACAGAATGTGAAAAAAAAAAAATCCATGAATCCACATGGTAGGATTTGTAAAGAATTTATTCGTAAATCAGGGTGGAAAATAAGTATTTGGTCAATAACAAAAATACAACTCAATACTTTGTAACATAACCTTTGTTGGCAATAACAGAGGTCAAACGTTTACTATAGGTCTTTACCAGGTTTGCACACACAGTAGCTGGTATTTTGGCCCATTCCTCCATGCAGATCTTCTCGAGAGCAGTGATGTTTTGGGGCTGTCGCCGAGCAACACGGACTTTCAACTCCCGCCACAGATTTTCTATGGGGTTGAGGTCTGGAGACTGGCTAGGCCACTCCAGGACTTTCAAATGCTTCTTACGGAGCCACTCCTTTGTTGCCCGGGCGGTGTGTTTTGGATCATTGTCATGTTGGAAGACCCAGCCTCGTTTCATCTTCAAAGTTCTCACTGATGGAAGGAGGTTTTGGCTCAAAATCTCACGATACATGGCCCCATTCATTCTGTCCTTAACACGGATCAGTCGTCCTGTCCCCTTGGCAGAAAAACAGCCCCATAGCATGATGTTTCCACCCCCATGCTTCACAGTAGGTATGGTGTTCTTGGGATGCAACTCAGTATTCTTCTTCCTCCAAACACGACGAGTTGAGTTTATACCAAAAAGTTCTACTTTGGTTTCATCTGACCACATGACATTCTCCCAATCCTCTGCTGTATCATCCATGTGCTCTCTGGCAAACTTCAGACGGGCCTGGACATGCACTGGCTTCAGCAGCGGAACACGTCTGGCACTGCGGGATTTGATTCCCTGCCGTTGTAGTGTGTTACTGATGGTGACCTTTGTTACTTTGGTCCCAGCTCTCTGCAGGTCATTCACCAGGTCCCCCCGTGTGGTTCTGGGATCTTTGCTCACCGTTCTCATGATCATTTTGACCCCACGGGATGAGATCTTGCGTGGAGCCCCAGATCGAGGGAGATATCAGTGGTCTTGTATGTCTTCCATTTTCTGATGATTGCTCCCACAGTTGATTTTTTCACACCAAGCTGCTTGCCTATTGTAGATTCACTCTTCCCAGTCTGGTGCAGGTCTACAATACTTTTCCTGGTGTCCTTCGAAAGCTCTTTGGTCTTGGCCATGGCGGAGTTTGGAGTCTGACTGTTTGAGGCTGTGGACAGGTGTCTTTTATACAGATGATGAGTTCAAACAGGTGCCATTCATACAGGTAACGAGTGGGGGACAGAAAAGCTTCTTACAGAAGACGTTACAGGTCTGTGAGAGCCAGAGATTTTCCTTGTTTGAGGTGACCAAATACTTATTTTCCACCCTAATTTACGAATAAATTCTTTACAAATCCTACCATGTGGATTCATGGATTTTTTTTTCACATTCTGTCTCTCACAGTTGAAGTGTACCTCTGGTGCAAATTACTGACCTCTGTCATCATTTTAAGTGGGGGAACTTGCACAATCGGTGGCTGACTAAATACTTTTTTGCCCCACTGTAACTGTCAATGTACGGTTTTCTTTCACAATTATTACTCACTGATGGTTCAAGCTCATGATAATGAAGAGCGGATGTGTTGAGGAAATACACACACATTGCACCTTAAAGTTAATGTGGGTTCAGAAGAGAAAGAGTTACAAGGGCTTTCGGGACAGCCCCAAATCAGCAGTGTTGGTCAGCAAGGCTGTGCAAAAAGGAATGAGGTGGAGCAAAGAGCAAACAGAAACTGCATTTTCTTTCAAAGTCACTATCTGATCGAGTGTTAACATATGTGAAGTGCTTTTTCAGGTGACTGCTGGGAGCAGCGGGGAACAACCAGCTCTCCCTGTGTTCATAAGGCTTGAAAAGAATGGCGATGGCAGTGGAGGGGATTATAGAGATGGGTGCTTTGAGACAATCAAGTGCCACACTGTTTAGCGAAGCGCAACAAATAACAAGGAGTAAACAGTAAGATTTTGTGGGGAGTGGGGGTGGGGGTTAAGAAACAGGGTTATGTGGGGAGTCTAAACATTAGAGGCATTTAATACTGGATGTTAGCGCATCAGTGTCAGTCTGGGTCAGTGGTTGTGGAACAGGATGTGGAGGTAATGGCTCACTAAATGGGATTTGTTTTATCAGAGGCAGTGGTGAGAGAGAGGGTCATACTGCTGTAAGGTCTCTCTCTAATCCCAGGGAGCCCAGAGGTTAATTTAGTGGGGCAGGAACTGCCTTCCCCTCTTGTTCACCTTCTTTATGGCTTAATCTCTTTCTTTGCTTTCTCCCCTCTTTTTCTTCTTTCTAGTTGTTCCCTTGCCAACTTCTAGTACCATTTTGCGAAACAAGAGATAAATGTTCCACCAGTCCTACGAAAACCCTCCTTACCTGTATATTCATATATAAACATCTTTCTTGTTCAACTTACAAGGGTTGTAGCGTTTTTCACTTCTCCAATTGCATTTGTAGTCAGAGGGAAACTGTAGCTTCTGAAAATGCACTCCCACTCCCACAGCAGGATGTCTTTGTAGCTCTGAAACGGTGTATGTGCCTGCTGAGTGTCTGTGTGTGTTTGTTGTGGGATTGGATAAGTGAGACCAGGCTTGCTGCCAGAGGGAGGGAGGGAGGTGAACGAGAAGGAAGAAAGAGAAACAGAGGCAGAGGGATGTTGCTTTTTGGACTTTGTTGTCTTCCCTGTAGATGTTGCTCTGCACGCACGCTGATGCGCATACACGCACTTTGCTAAGATCAAAGTTAAGATCTCTAGAAGCACGGCTGTTGTCTACCATTACCACATCCTCATCGATCATAAGGATGACATCTCTTGTTTACAATTAGAGACAAAAACAGTGAGGCTTTTTTCTTACCCCTGTCTGCCTGCTTCATCCATTTTACCAAATATCCTCCTTGGAGATTTGTTGAGCTGTCTATTTTTACAGGGAGGTGGTATGTGTGAGAAAATGTACAAAAGTGCCTGAGGTAGGAAGCAAGAGTGAGGAGGCTGCTTCACCACAAGCAGGCCTATTATTTCCCTGTTCTGTCTTCTCGTAAGATGGGTTCCATGAACAGTGACAACCGTAACGGTCACAGGTCCTCACAAACAATGACTAAGATTCTCTCTGTATCTCTCTGAAGGCTGACGCAGGGCCTCATGGGGCCAGCAGGGAACGTCTGGGCGCAGAAGGAGCCCTCTCCCAGGAAAAGGGTGGCCCCTCAGTCCCTGCACACCTCCTGGGAAACCCCTATGCCTTTGGTCTCACTCCAGGAGCTGTCATGCAGGAGTCACGGTTTCAACCTCTTAAGTGAGTCGATCCCTGCTTTAACATTTTCTATGGATTTGCAAAGTGTACATGTTCATTCAAGGCTGTATTAAAAATACAGCAGCAACACACATGCCTTGTTGACATGGGTGCTGGGAAGCAATTTGAATTTGTATAGTTTCTTGGTAAAAATATAATGAATTTTCACAACACCGAACACATACAAATTGAAATGACAATATTTTTTTTTTCTTGTTTTGTGCTTGTACTCCCTCTGTTACCTTCAGCCTGCCCAGACAGTTGTCTAACGCAGTGCCACCTGGTCCTGTACCAGAGGAGTATCTCCGGGGTTTTCGGCCTTATGCTACAGCCGAGGATGCCCTCCGGATGCCCTCTTTGCCCTTGGGCCTAGACCCTGCCACTGCAGCTGCCTACTACTCCCACAGTTACCTGCCCCACCCTTCAACCTTCGCTTCATACAGGTAGGCCTCTGCATTTGTTGACTTGGCATCCATTTCCTCTGAGAGTGAACTGTGCAAAACCAGCACATACAACTGAAGCAGATATTTGTTCTGCTCGTTCTGCTCAGCAGTAAATGCAGTAATGTATAAATGACCAGATTTCAAGCTCTCAGAGTTAAAATGATGTTTTTTTTGTTAGTTTTTTTATGTGTGTATTTATTTAACTAGAAGTAAGATTTTTATGAAGCGTGAAGAAGTTAAAGGAAGATGCAAAAAAGACAGGGCAACACAAATTAAAATGAAATTCCAGATAAAAGACACAGAACAGAAGCACAACAGAAGGAAGGAAGTCTGCAAACAGAAGCGAGATAAGATTGTCTGTTAAAAAGTACATTCTACTACTGAGCACTGGGGGCACTGGGAGTCTTTGCAAAAGATCAGATCAGTGTTAAATGATAGCTATATGAGTGCAGGCTGTATTTTCTGACAGGCTGTTGCTAAGAACCCTCTTAGAAAATATCTGGCTCAGCTGTATCAGAAAACGCTTAACAGGCTGATTAAAAATAGATATACGTGACTGCTCCAAAGGCTGTAGTAATATTATTTGCATACTTTAGAAGTCTTCTAATGAAAGTTAAAAAAAATAAAATAAAATAAAAACAGCATTCTTATGTTTCTATTTTGAAGCTGTGTAAGGCCAACCAGTTAAGAGCACAACCCATTTTCCATGTCTATACCCAAGCTAGGCTATGAGAGGAGAAGAGCAACAGCTTGGTTTTAAATTTTTTACTTCATGTCTAGAGCATCTGTGGGTTTGTGAGAAATTATTAAAGAATCCTGGTTATATATCTGGAAAAGGGTCTTGTTCTGAAATTTTTATTGATTGATTTTTTTCGGCATCCTTTTCAAAAGCAACAGCACGATTATTAACAACAACAAAAACAGTCAGAAATATAGTGTGGAATATTTGTTAAATTAATAGAATTTTTCATGGACACTGTGTATGATCATGTGCACTCTGTGTGTATGTTGAAAAGAGCCAGGCTTGCTTTGGGCTGTCTCACAGGCTGTGTGCTCCTGGTCTGTCAACCAAGCAAGATCACAGGACTGCAGCACCCATCACACACTGTGCTGTAATGGATTTAATGAGGGCTTGAGCAGCGGATGCCACACACATACACAAACACACAGCATCAACATACATCGCACTGTCTTCCTGGATGCTGTGTTGTGATTGAGGTTATCTGACAGACACTGTTACTTCCTTGGAAGATGGAAAAGCCTGTGATGTTCCTTCTTTGGAAGATGGAGGCACACAGGTTAATGAAAGTGAACACTGCACTATCACACAGGGAGACTGTCTGACTCCCTCTTTTCCTCTCTTCTCTCTCTCTCTCACTTTTTATCTCTCAGGATGGATGACCCGTTCTGCCTCTCTGCTTTGAGGTCACCTTTCTACCCACTGCCAACAGGGGGAGCTTTACCTCCTATCCACCCCTCTGCTGTTCACATGCATCTACCAGGCATCCGCTACCCTGGAGATTTCACGCACCCCTCATTGTCGGCATTGCAGTCTGACAGGTAAAGCCTGCTTAATTGATGAGTGCTGTATACAGTCACATTTATTTATATGAGGTATATCAAAGTGGTGTGCTGTGGTCATGGGTTGTCTTCACACACATCATCTTTCCTCTTTTGTTTCTCTCTCCACTCTGTTTTTTTTAGGCTTCAGCTAGAGGATGAGCTGCGGCAACGAGAGAGGGAACGCGAACGAGAACGCGAGCGTGAAAAAGAGAGGGAACGAGAGGCTGAGAGAGAGAAGGAACGGGAGAGAGAACGAGAAAGGGAGAGGGAACGGGAAGAGGCGGAGAGGGAGAGGCAACGAGAAAGGGAAAGGGAGAGGGAGCGCGAGAGAGAACGGGAGAAGGAGAGAGAAAGAGAGAAGGAACTCGAGAGGCAGAAGGAGAGGGCACTGAGGGAAAAAGAGCTGCAGGCATCCAAGGCCATGGAGAACCACTATCTGGCTGAGCTCCATGCCATGAGAGGACAGGAGGACCGAACCAAGCCTGAAAGACTAACCCCTAATCGGGCTGGTATGTGTCCATGCATCCTACCTAGCCTCTTTTGGCTATAGTCTTTTTACCTTTAAAGTGGATATCTCTCTGATATTTCTGACTCTTCAAAGCTGTTTTATAGACCAAATAAATACACAAAATTAATTTTTGAAGTAATAGTTTCATGAATGTAATTATCTGTTATAACATAAATGTTAAATTCTTATATACCAATCTTTCTCTACAGACAAAACCAAAGAGCCCGCTCTTCCAGCTCCCAAACCAGTCCCACCAGGAATCCATCCGTCTATAGTCCAATCACACCATGGTCTAATCTCAGGCCACAGCATCTACATGGGGCCTGGCACTGCAGGAACAGGGCTTGCAGCCTCAATGATTGCTCAGAGGAAAGACGAGGAGGAGAGGTGGATGGCGCGGCAACGCAAGCTGCGTCAGGAGAAAGAAGATCGTCAGTGCCAGGTGTCTGAATTCCGCCAGCAGGTTCTGGAGCAGCACCTGGACTTGGGTCGGCCAGGTGACACTCCAGATCACAGGACGGAGTCGCACAGGTGAGACTGCACGCTTAACTTGTTTCAGTCCAGCCAATTTGTGCAAAAATGTCATACAACATAGCATGTAGTTGCAGTATTTATTTTCTCCTGTTATCTGATAGAGACGAGCAGCTTTTGGGGCAATGTGCTCACTATTTCTGGGGGTTTTTGGCTGGCTCTGCTAGTCTGATAGGGACAGTTGTGCCTGTGGTTTTGAAGTCTTGGAGGCTGGCAGGCTTTAGAAGTTTGTTTTCAGGCAGGACTGTAAAAGAGTAAGAAGCTTCACATCTACTCTATATCTGTCCAAGCTCCCTTCCAGGCCTGACATGTAGAAAAATAATAGGCACTGTTTAGGCATTGTTGTAGGTTATGAAGAGGAATCCTGATGACTGCTGTTTCATGAGTTGACATGAGTAGGGGGTTCAAATAGCCAGCAAGTGGAACTGCTAAGATACACAAGGGCTAATACCTTTTTCATCCTCTCACTCTTGCATAGCATAAGCCCCCCAGACCTTATTTGTTACTGTGCCTCTGTGTGTGTTATTGTGTTTGATTCAGAAATGAGGTTGTGGTTCATGCTGGTAGGACACACACAAGATACACACGTCTGCTATCGGTAACTTACCTACAGTATAATCGCAGAATCACAGCTGACAGGCTGCAGATTGCAGATAAGACACATTTACTCAGTGACACACACACAAACACACAGAAAAGAAAACACAAACAGGAGGCATAGATCATTTGACTGGTCATGCAGTGCCTGCTCCTGCCAGGTTTGATTTGGAATGAAGTTTGAGACAGTGTCCATCAGTCTGCCATTACCATTTCCTTTCCCCCCACTGTATCATTCTTTCCTTTACAACCTTGCTCTCCCTTTAAGGCTATTTTCTTCTACTCTCATCATTTAACGTGAGCCCTATTCTAATA